CCACGCTGTTTCCTCGAGGCCAAGAATAGGGGAGACAAGCAGTTACTCTGGCTTGCAGAGGCTTGGATTTGAGACCTGGCTCAACGTTCTCCAAGCTGTGTGATGCAGAAGGGTTGGCCTCCCTCTCTGAGATCGCTCATGGATTATGCTGTAGATTTGGGCCTACTTCTTTTTTTTTTTTCCTTTTTATCGGTACCGGGGATCGAACTCAGGACTGTCTGCTTGCAAGGCAGGCCCTTATGCCACTGAGCTAAATCCCCAGCGGGCCTACTTCTTTCAGCCTTTGTGGACTCAGAGTAGACCATATAAAAAGAAGCTTTGTACCCTTCACCCCGCAGAGAACATGTTAGGCAGATGTGGTGTCTGTCCCTAGCACTACAGAAAGCTAAGACAGGAGAATCTTACATAGTGAGATGGTCTCAGAAAAAGGGGGGTGGGGGTGGGGATGTAGTCCTTTCTTTTCTTTTTGTTTTTGTTTTTTTCCTTTTTATCGGTACCAGGGATCGAACTCACGACCGCCTGCTTGCAAGGCAGGCGCTTATGCCGCTGAGCTAAACCCCCAGCCCCGATGTAGTCCTTTCAATCCCCACTGTGGGAGGGGAGCAGAGGGCAGCTTTTACAGGGTTCCTGGTCAGTCCCCTACTTTCCTCGCTGTTGTTAGGTCAGGGCAGTAGACTCCGCTGGCTCCTTCCCCCTCGCACCCGCGCACCCCCATAGCCCTTCGGAGGAGTCTTTATCTTGCCTTTAATAAATTTAAGGTTGGAGGGTGAAGTTAATTAAGGCGAGGCGCTCTACCAGCTCCGCCTTCAGCCCAGACCCAGAGCAGCTCGGCCCGGGCCCCTCCCTGACTCCGACTCCGCTTTGCTGAGCGTGGGCCCCCAAGCCCACACAACCTCGGGGGCTCCGGTCCAGTGGGGAGCTGGGCCTCCGCAGAGATCGCCCTTGCCCAGATTCCCCGAGCAAAGACGGGGCGCTAGGGGAGAGGGAGGTGCCGGCCCGGCTGTCCGGATCAGACCGGCTCCGGGCCTCGGGTGCTGTCCAGCTCTTGGTGCTGAAGATGCTTGCGCCCAGGCTTCCCGGGAGGAGCCACGCACCTCTGCAGCCTCCGCTCAGTCTCCGACCCGGACTCTAGGAGCGTCCACGCTGGTCCAGTAACCTGTATGGACCATCTGCTTCTATAGTTCCCAGGGACTCAACACCTGTGTCATCCAAGCTGTGTAAACCGCTACCTGCAAGACAGGAGAGGAAAGCCTGGGTTCCTTCCTGGCATCTTTTTGTTGCTGATGGATTTTTTCATTTGCTTGTTTTTTGTTCTTGAGACAGGCTCTCACTGTGTAGTCTGGACTGGCCTTGAACTCTATGTAGCCTTGGGTGCCCTGGAACTCTTGATCCCTCTCCTTTGGCCACCTATACAGCACAGCACCCAGCTTCCTCCAATACATCTTTCAAGCAGTGAATACACCCGCCTTTGACTCTGGGTGGCCCCAGGATCCTGTGGATGTCCTGGTCCCTTTCCTCCCAGCATCCTGGCTGGGAGTGAGATTCAGCTTTTCCCAGCAAAGGACACCACAACCTTCAGGCCAGAATTTTTTTTTTTTTTTTTTTTTTTTTTTTTTTTTTTGCCCATGAGGGCATAGATCATAAAGTTATCCAATGAGCTAATTATGACCTTCAGGACAAAGAAGAAGGCCCTGAAGGCACAGTGAACCCCCAACAAGCTGTCAGGGAAAGGGTTAAAATAATGAGTCAGCAGAATGCCTGTGCTCACCAAGTGAACTCAGCTGCATGCCATTTCTTATTTTTATTTTTTTAATTTTTGGTACTGGGGATCGAACTCACAACCTCACACTTATCAGACAGGTGCTTATGCCGCTGAGCTAGCTAAACCCCCAGCCCTGCATGTCGTTTCTTATGAAGGGGACTGACTACCCTACCTTGGGAAAGAAGTGTTGCTTACATATATCAAGTGTGCTATCAGTGTGTGTGTACTCTTTGGCTCCAGCCAAAGCTAGGAATGGTCCCTTTCAGCCAAGACTCTTTTGTCTGGACACAGTACTTAAAAAACTGAATGCGGTCTGATGTTTTCTCTCTTGCCTGTTGAAGGCTTCATTTCTGGCAAGATCCTCCCCCAGAAGATACCCCTGCCTAGTTGGTGGTAATATATTATTTGACTATGCTCATATCTGCCATAATTTTTTTTTTTTTTTGAGATAGGGTCTTGTATCCAGGCTGGCCTTGAACTCAGTATGTATCCCAGGATAGCCTTGAGCTTGTGATGATCCTTCTGTCTCAGCCTTGCAAATACTGGGATTGCCATGCCTCATTCTGCTATCTATTTATTTATTTATTTTTATTTATCAGGGATTGAACTCACGACCTTGCACTTGCCAGGCAGGTACTCTGCTGTATTTGTGTGTGTGTGTGTGTGTGTGTGTGTGTGTGTGTGTGGTTCCGGGGATTGAACTCATGACCTCGCACTTGTCAGGCAGGCACTTATGCCACTGAGCTAAATCCCCAGCCCCTGTGCTGTATTTTTAAAATAAACTTACTTTCAACTTTTTAAAATCATTATGTGAAAAAATAAGATAAAAAATAAAATCATTATATGGCTCTTCTCTGTTCATGTGGATCCAAACCTCAAACTTCTGTGGCCACATATATGTGGGTCCTTGGTGTCCTCACATACATGTGAGTCCAAGATTGCACTTGTGCACTCCATGAGCCGTAGGCTCAGTATAGAGACAGGAAAGACCAGTTAGGAGAAGTACTCATCAAGTGGGCAGGTGTGTCCAACACATTCTGGATGTATCGAGCCTGAAGAAAGTATGCATTTGGCTCCCAGAACCGCCTGACAGTGCTGGGGCAAAGTGTGGTACAAGGTGCTCAGGTTGGACGTGGGGTGCAGCTCGCAGTGGTGCAATGGAATAGGACCACACCACAGACCTGTAGCAGACAGCACCCTCGAGCCCCAATGCAGCCATCACATTCCTGGAGACAGCTAGGGCAGGGGTATGCCTTCAAAAGTGCAGAGGAAGAGGCAGCTTGGCACCGTGGGAGGTGACTAAAATGCTTGCAGCCTTTTCTGTGAGAAAGAAGCTGCAGCAGCCAAGGCTCTGCTGGCCCACAATTTGTTGCCTAGGATGCACATTTCCCAGATGCTCCCAAAGCCCCTGGGAAGCTAGAGCTGCTGCTGGAAGACAGAGCCCCCACCCCACCCCACCCCAGCATGTGCTACACAGTGAAAATGTGGGGCTTGTTCAAAAGTTAAGAATTTCAAGGCGGTGACAAAAAGGTGGTTTTAAGACCAAGTACAGGAGCCTCCTACACGCAGCCTTCCTCAGCTGCATAAACCCTACCCCCCCCCCGAAGCCAACCATGCCCCTAAACTATAAACACAGGCTCCACTGAACTTTACCCTGCTGGGGACTTTGGAGTCATCCTGAAGGAGCCTGCCCTTCCCCTTGCCATAAGGAAGGAGGCAGGCTGGCTTTCCTAACCCTCACACATTCCTAGCACAGGGAACACTGCACAGGGAGCTGCCTCTTGCTGGAGCTATATGGCCTTCAACCCTTCTCAGGGCTCTGGGAAGCCAGGGCCACACCCAGAGAAGGAAGCAGCTGGGCCGTGGTTTCCATGGGACTTGCTTCCTGATTGTCCACTGCTTATCTCATTTTCCCTTCAGAGGAAGCATGTAGAAGTCCAGGAAGTCCTGCAGAGGCTAAAGTTCTGGCTACCAGAGATGTGATGGGCCTACAGACCTGTTTTCCAACCCTCTGGACACTATGCATTCTGTTCAATGATACCCTGCTCTCACCTGGAGAAGAAGCACTAAGGACTGGTGGACTGAAGGACAGACACAGAGGACTTCCAATTGTAGAAGGTGCCCCCAGTTGTTGGAAAATGGGACACAGCAGAGGGCGCTGTTGTGCAAATCTGTCATAAAGGAGGTGCCTCGTACACATTTTTCCTTATACTCTCCCTGTTCTGCAAATCTACCCAAAAAACACAGACACAGACACAGACACACACACTCCTACTTTACAGGTACAACAGTGTTCACAGCATGAGGATGCCAGCCTTGGATTCTCCAGCTGGTCTCCAAGGGATCCTCACAAACCTTTTACCTTATCTTTATCCCATCTCAAAATTACTTTCATGTACTTATGGTAGCTTTGTATGGTAGCTGGGAAGAGAGAGGGACTGGGACCCCTGATTTCCCTTCCCCATCATTATGGCCCTTTCTGTTATACACTAACAAAAAGAGCTTCGTTATGTTTGTGTTATGTTTGCCAATATGACCAAATTACCTGTAGCACCGTCATATTGTTCTGTATGTGCCATCTTCCTGGGTGACCTAATTGATATGTTAACCATTGCTACGCTTTGCAAAGGACAGTACTAAAATTAGTTGACAAGGATTGTAAATTCCTGTGAGACCTCTCTGTCCTCTGCAAAGGGAAATAAAGGTCTTCCTCATTCCTTAGTGGACCAAGGATTTTCTCATTTCCTGATCCACGCCCATAACCCCTTACTTTGTAAATGCTCTTTCTACAAAAAGTCTGTGAAAGTTTTAAGCGAGTTACACAGCTTTGCAAACTCCAACTGCACTGTGTCCCTGGTAACAGGTAAAATAAATCAGTGCTGCTTTTTCTAAAAAAACATGTCTTGCCCCATTTTTGGACACCGAGTTGGGGGACTCATTTTTGGGCTACAAGATCTTCTAGCAGGAAGATGTCCACTGCAGTGTTATTTATAGCAGGAAATAAATAGGCTGGTGACACACCTGGCTCTATTGCAGAGCCACAGGATGACAGCTGTGACAGCCGTGCAGTAACAGGAACTCAGGTTTGCACTGTCCTCACTCGTGATGGTTGAAAAGCAGGACGCTAAACTCTCCCTATGTCAACAGTGCATTGAGTATAGATAAAGTCTGAAAAGGGGCACTGATGCAAGCGAGACAGGAGGCTGTTTTCTTTCTAAACTAAAAATGTACATATACATCAAGTTGTAAAATGGTTGCCTCTGGGAGAGGAACTTGGTGATTTATTTTTCTTCTTTCCAAAGGTTCTGCAATAGGTAACTTGGGGGAAAAGAAGGTCACATGTCACATGCACACACAGCCCCTGGGAAACAGCTTGTTTCCTCAGTGTTGCCACAGTGTTCGTAGAGGCTCACAGGCCACCTGCCTCACGCCACCTGCCACCCCAGGCTGCTGCGTGCCGTTTCCTTTTTCTGCCCATCCGATCGCCCTCCTTTCCCTCTTTAGCAGTCTCTCCACCACGAAGCCAGAACATAAAGGAACACATTCAGGAACCCAAAGCAGCTCAGATCCCACCCTCCTGCTGGCTAAGCTGAGCAAGGAGGAAACAACCACGGGGGTGTATTCCTAAATTTTCTGTAGGGCAGGATCAGAACACATGTCATCTGTTTTGCTGGATTTTTCCACACTCATTACTGCTATTGTCATTCAAAATGTTTGGAGGAAGATGTTTCTGCCCCATCTTCTCTGAAGACAGCTCCTGTCCTGGCCCCGTGAACTCCCAGCTGGTCCCACACACCTGCAATTCCCCCTCCCAGGATTCTCCAAAGTCAGAGGAGTGGGGTCCCTGGAAAGAGGAGGGCAGAGCCCTGCAGCCTCTTTGGCAGAGAAGAGCTTTCTTGTCTTTGCTAGAATATGGCAGGGATCCAGGCTGGGGAGCCTTAGAGACCAGGCTATTAATTAAACCTTGCTTTGTGTGTGGATTTAATCTCAACATCCAGGGACACACAAGCTGGAATTTCTGCAAACCTTCCCCTGAATTCTCTGCCAATCAGCAAAGACTTGAGGGTGCAGGGGAAGCCAAGGAAGGGCGGGGGCTGGGGTCCCAGTGGGAGGGAAGTGTGTGTGTATCCAGAAGACAAGAGATAGTATGGAGGAGCAGCGGGAGCAGGCTTTAGTTCTAGCAGGAGACCGAGGTTGAAATCCCACCTCTGCACTCTTCGCTGGGCATTTTGGGCAAGGCATTACCCTCTTGAGCCTCAGCTACTTCTCCTGTCCTTTTCTTGGGTTAGGCAACTTGCTCAGAGGATATTTGCTACACCTAGAAAACTAGCATGTTGCTATTCATCTCTGACCAAAACAAACATAAATCCAAACTTTTACTGTAATCTCCAAAAACACACGTCCTACCTGTTGGGCCCCAGCTACCTCTCTAGCCTTATCTCTAATGGGAAGTTCCTGGGAAAATGGCTTTTCTCATTCCATTTCCTCTATATGACTTTCCCTTCCCTTTTTTCCCAGTTAATATCTATCTTTTTTTTTCTTCTTCTTCTTCTTACCTTGCTGGGAATGAAACCCAGGGCCTCACACATGCTAGGCAAGAGCTCTACCACTCACCTACACCCCACTCCTGCTTGTCTTAGAAGACTCAGCTATAGCCTGAAATTTCTTCCTACACTGGCTAGTAAGAAGCTGTTTCTCTCTCCCCAGGGATACTCCTGGCGTGACACCATTGTCCCTTTGACAGCTGTTAACTACAGCTGAACTCTGTTAAGTACTTACTAAATGCTTGGACCTCTACCAGGCCTGTACCCAGCATCCTCTAGTTGAATTCTAACCATACCCACGTGGGAGAGGTGCTGTCTCCTTATCCCATTTTGCTGATCAGGACCCTGAACCTGAGGGAGAGGGGTGAACACTGAGGCTGGGACGGCACCCAGCACGGCCCTGCTCCAAAACCTGTTCTACTCTGAATTTAAGGTAGGGCAGTTTCTGTTCAGGGCTATGCATCTGACTTTCTCCTGAACCCCAGGATCGCACAGGGCTCAGCTCCCTGTGCCTCTACCTCATGTCTGTCACTGTCCTAGGAGGGGCTGTATTTGAATCTCACATGTTCAGGCCCATGGATACAAGGCTCCTTTCCTTGCTCTCGAGAGTTCAGGAGAGGCCCGGATGTGCAAGGGCTTCTCCCTTGGTCCAGGCCAGGGTGCTCCTTCACTTGGCGCCGCATTCATACCAAGATAAGGGACCTCTTCCTCGACGTCATGTCTGAAAAAGGAGGAGGAGGAGGAAAGCAGTCATGGTCACTTGCGCCAATGTGCCAAGCCCGTGCCTTTAGCTCACTGAATCTTCACTTCTATCTGTGAGAAAGGTAGGCTATAGATAAGATTTCCCCCTTACAGATAGGGGAAACGCACCCAGCTGACATCCCTGAGTTGGCAGGGGGACCCCAAAGACGTTGCCTGACTCCCAAGCCCTTTGGTGTCCTTCCTCACTGTCCTCTTCTGTTCTGGATGGAATCGTGCTGATGCCGGTTCTCTGAGTTCAAGGATTGTGATTCATTATGGCAGGATCCCAGCAACTTGTTTATTGGCAGAAGTCAGCAGGGCAGGGATTATTATTCCCGCTTTATAGATGAGGAAGTTGTATTCCGAGGAATAGGAAAGTTGCCCAAGGTCTTCCCTGAGTCAGAGGGAAAACAAAGATTTGAACTCAGGACATGATGTTCAGGACAGAGAGGGCCCTAGGTTAAATAAATGAAAGGCAGCTAGAATTAGGGGCAGGGCTTTCCTATCCAGTATGCCCCATCCAGCAGCTTTATGGGCCCATAAATCACCAGTATGTGTGAGGGTACATCTCTGATGACCTCAGGCCTCCCCCCCCATCAGGGAAGCTAGCCCCAGGTGGCCTGGACAGGGTGGCAGGAGACTGATTTGTGGCCAGCCAGGACTGGAGCAAGACTGGGAGATAAAGCTGGGAAGATTGGACAGAGTGTGGTGCTTGGCTCAGAGAGAACTCCCTGGCCGCCACAGCCCTGGCTTCAGCCCTGCAGGGCTTGTGTCCCTTCCCCCATCCTCAGAGGACCACCAGCATGGCCCTGCTTCAAAGGACACCCCTGGGGCCCGCTTGAATTCTCTCCTCCAGGGACCACCATGCAGCAAACTCCACTAGAGCCCCTTAACTCTGGTGATTCTCCCCCCCAGCCGTCAGGGGACTGGTTTGAGTCTAAGGGACCTAGACTTTCTCCCTTTACCCATCCCTAAGTCCTGAGAGGAACTTTTTTTTTCCAGCTCTGTGAAACAAATCCACTTGCCCCACTCCCATAAACAAGAAAAGGGAGTTTCAGAATCTTTCCCCCAGCTGTCATGGGCCCTGGTTGGTGACTGAAAATTCCACAGCAGTGTAGACAATAGGGACTTAAGGCTGGTGTGGACACCCCCTGCCCTCCTGCCTGCCTCTCTTGTAGGATCAAAGCTGCTCTGTGAGGATGTGTGATCCCGGGCCAGAAGCGGGGAGTGGAAGAAGCCCTTTGCCTGGCTTGTTTTGGGGGGAGGGTTCATACCCCTCCAGAGGTCCCTCACCCAGTTCAAAGGCCGGTAGGGGCTGAGAGGTTGGCAACGGATTGAGGAAGTGGCTGGACCAGAAAAATGGGGCTTCCTGTTGATGGGAGTCCAGGTCTGCTGCCCAATTCCCTGTCCCCCTCCTCTCTCCCAGGCTAAATTTCCATGGAAGCCCCCACCTCACGAGGGCTGCAAGAGATCATAGCCGACCTGCCAGGAGAGGGAAAATTTCCTTTCCTTGGATTCTGCGGAGACCCTGATAAATGGGAGAATTAGGGGTCCATTTAGATCCTGATCTCTCCATCTTATCCACCGGGTCTCGGGGACCTCCTCAGGATCCAGCCCCTGGCCTCTGACACCATGGTTTTGCTTCTCTCCCACTGAGCCCCTTCGCAATTCATTTCTCTATTTTTTGTTTGTTCGTTTTGGTGTCGGGAATCGAACCCACGACCTTGTGGTTTGTGCCGCTGGGCTACATCCCCGGCCCCGCGTTTCTCTTTTCTGGCCCCTCACCCCTGCACCCCATCCCACCCCTACCGGATGGCGTTGCTGTGCCGGAAGGGTCTGTCAGCTGGGAAATTCGGTTTAGAGCAGTCTGGGAGGAGAGGGATGAGTCGCCGAGAATCAGCGACCGCTACGTGAGACCAGCGCCGCCCTTCCTTCCTCGGGCCACCGGTCCAGGCTTCAGCACCCTCGACTCCCCGGCTCCTCGGCGATCACCCCACCCACCCGGCCAGGGCCACCCCGGGACCCGCCTGCAGACCCCGCGCAGAGTTGGCGCCAAAATGATGGGAGTCGCGCGCCTGGAGCACCGGCCCGGGGGTCCAGTGCCTCGCGCCGTCGCTTCTCTCTTCCCAAACCGGGACCGCAGATGGGCCAGGCACGGGGGGCGGGATGCGGGGCGGGAGCGGGTCCCCGGCACCGGCCCGAGGCGGCGGGGCTGGGCGGGGCGGCTGGGGAGCGCACGGTTCGGACCCGGCCCGGACCGGCGAGCGGGGAGGGGACGCTCCGCCAGGGGGAGGAGCCGCGCCCCGCTTCGGGGCTCCGCTATAAAACCCCGGCGGGCAGGCTCGCGGCACCCCCCTCGGTGCGACACCCCGGGCTCGGCGGTCCGCGCTGTCCCGCACGATGAGGCTGCCGCTTGCTGTCCTCGCCCTCGCCCTGGCCGCGTCCGGGGCTGACACAGGTGAGCGCGCCCCAGGGCCCCTCGGGGGTCCCTGCACACCTGCGGGCAGCGGCGCCGGGGCACCGGCGGACTGGGCGGTGCACGCGTCGGGGCGCGCAGGCGTGTCCGCAGGGAGTGCGGGGTGCGCGCGTGTGCGCTAGCCGGAGCCCCGCTGCAAGAGGCTGAGATAAGGATGCTCCTCGGGCCACCGCCTTTGCTCATCCTGGTGCCCCTTGGCCTGTCCGTGTCTATGTGGTCGAGGCTCAGTACTGCGTGCCCCCTGCCCCAGCGTGGACTACGTGCTGGGTGTATTGGGGTCCTGGCATCCCCCGATTCCCACCCTCAGTTCTTCGCCCCCAAGGGCTGCAGGCTTCCCCCGGCTCCCTAGCCTCCAGCGCTGCATTGGGAGCCTGGCGGGGGGCACTCGGATATCAGAGGTCCCGGCCCAGCCGGTCTTTCCAGTCTTTCCGGATAGGGTGATTTTCCTTTAAAGATTAATGGTGAGACCGCGCTCTTAATTATTCGGCTAGGTGGGAGGTGGCAGGAGACACGTGTTAATATTTGATAAGAAGCTAAAGGCGCTTCTAGCGCCGGCAACTTCTCGGTGACCCCGCAGCCCTTCACGGAAGACCTGGCCAAGTTACCCTTGGGATGGTTCTTGGGATTCACACCGACCAAACCTCCCCTCCAAAGTCAGATGCTCCGCCCTTGGCGTGGAGTGAGGAGCCGGGGTGCCCTCAGCGCCAGAGAGGGGTGAGAGTGTGTGCCGCTTTGCATGAGGAACTTAGCCGGCTGTTTGGAGGGATAAGGAATATTTCTCAGCAACTCCTACATCACCCGGTCCCCAGGGGAGAAGAACAGCAAAAAGACCGAATATTAAAATGTTTGAAACCTCCTAAGCAGCTTGGATTTAATAGAAAGGATTGTAATTAATTCGAATGTGTTGCAGCTGTATGCACGGGGTAAGTCACTTAAACTGTCATCTCACAGTACAGGCATGGTAATTGTCACGCCAGGTATTCTAAAAACTCCAATAAGATAAAGTGTGTGCGTGTGTGTGCGTGTGTGTGAGTGTGTGTGTGTGTGTGTGTGTGTGTGTGTGCACGTACACATGTGGGGCTGGCTCATGGCAGATGCTCCCTACAGGAGGGTTTTGAGGTTCTATCGTTGCCGCTGAGTCTGTCTTACAAACTGCGCCCCTTTTAGTGAGTAAAATCGGTTTTCCTCCACCCATTCACAGCCCCTGGGCCACTTTAGGTTGGGGGGTGACCTGTTGCAGAGGGAAATCCTTGGAGCATCTGCCTGGGAGTGGAGAGGAGAGGATATGGGATCCTCTTCAGAGCCCCAGACCCCCGGACCAGGAGGTGCTGGGACTTTGCCCAGGGCACACACAGGTTTTGCTGAGTTGGTGTGCAGGGTCTCCCTCTTCCCTTGGAGTGAAGGGTGGGGAGAACAAGGTCCAGGAGAGGAGCTTCTTCAGTCTCTCAAGAAGGGGGAGGTGGTAGGTAAGTTAAGGTGGGGACAATGGCTGGTGACCGGTGATGGTTTGAGGAAGGCAGGGCCTGACCTGTGAGTAGCTCCTCTCCTTCCCAGGTATCCTCGGAAGGGACTGGAGACAGTGTGCTGAGAGCTTCCATGAGTGAGTACAGGCTTGAACTGAGGGGGAACCTCTCCACAGCTCTCATGGAGAGCTGGCACCCCATAGCTCTCTGCAGGAACACAGCCCTGAGCACTGCTGGTCTCAGCCTCCTCACCAGTGTTTCCCAGCTCCAGCCTGCTGAAGAGGGTAGTTACAACACTGTTCAGCCAAACAGGTCAAAAGTCTCTGTGATTAAGACTGTAGATCATAGGTCACCACAGCTGAGGCAGAGGAGCAGGAGCCAAGCCAGGGAAGAGCACATTCCTATGCAAAGCTCTGCCTGAAGCAGATGGGCCCCCTGGGAAGTTGTGAGGGGTTCCACCCTGACCTTCGCAGCTAGCTCCCATGACCTGGTTTGAGCAGGGCTCCTCCTGCAGTAGCCTCCCCAGGGGCTGCACTGATGAGGAAAGGCAGGCTCACCCACACCCACTGAGGCCCCTTTTGTGCTGGGGACACAGAATGACTGTCACAAGGAGCCTCTTGGTGCACAGGACCACCAGCCCTCCATCTGGTCTGGCAGGAACCTTGAAAGTGGTGGCACTTTCTGTGCCAGGAGCTCAGAAAAGCAAACCACCTCTATGGCAGAGATTCAGCAAGAGGCCAAGCAAGGCTGGAAGGCAGGGACTGGACTCCAGCCTCAGAATTCTGCCCACCTGCAAGGAGGGACTTGCATGGGCCAGGGCCACTGCCTTTTGCAGAGTGGACCCCAGTACAGCAGCTCCCAGGAGCTGCACCATTTCAGGGAGATATTGCATCTCTACAAAAGCCCTTGAGGGACATTGGTCCAGGGGCACTGGTCCAGAGCTGGAAAACTTAAAAACTCAAAATGATTCTTGGGGGCCAAGCAATGAGGGCCAGAGTGGTGCATACTCTCCTAGCCTAGAACCTTCTCCCCGCTTAGACCCTGACCTCCTCATGGTCCCTCCTCATCCTGTCCCCACCTCAGCGACCCTCCCCTGCCCAGAGCCAAGAGGGGATGAGTGGAGAGCACCCTCCCCCCTGGCACGGAGGCCTCCGAGACTGCTCTGGGAGTCAGCTCAGCCCTGAGTTCTTTCCACCTCCTCCTTGTCTCTCCTTCCTGCCCCTCCTTGTCTTTGGCCATCTGCTCACTGACAGGAGGCCATCAGAGGGAGGGAAGCAGGGGGAAGGAAAGGACTTGTCAGTGTGACTTTACTCCGTGGCATCCCTCATTTAATCCTCCCCACGGTCAGTCCGCTGATGCGGGCACTTTTTTTTTTTGTACCCAGGATGGAACTCATGACCCTGCACTTACCAGGCAAGTGCTTAAGCTACTGAGCTAAATCCCTGGCCTCTCATGTGGGCATGTTACTCCCATTTTACAAATGATAAAACTGAGGCTCAGAGAGATGAAAAGCTTTGCTCCTAAATCCATAGCTCCTTAGCAGTGCAGCCAGAATTCTTGCTCTGGATAAAATACTTTGTTCATCCTGCTGGAGTAAGTGTTTGTTGTTCTTTAGAGAAGATTTAAATTTGCAGAAAAGCTTGAGCACAGAGCAAGAGAGGCTGCCCAGGAGCCCCCTGTGCCCCTGCCCTTGTACAGTTCCCCTTCCTGCGCCCAGCATCGCAGCTTCCATTGGTGTGGCGCAGCCTTTTTGTCAGAGATGGTGGGCGCTCCTGTCCACGCACGGAGCGATCTTAACACGGCAAGGAGTGGGGCATCCTGGAGGGGTGCCTGTGTCCCCCAGCACCTCTGTGACAGGGAAGCAGAGCCTCCTGGTCCAGGTTTGAAGGAGAGAAGGAGAGGCAGATTGTCATGGGAATGTTCAGCCCCAGGGATAGGGCTGAAGGAGCCACAGAGGGACCCCTTGAGGAACAGTACTCTAGGCAACGTGGGCATTCTTGTGCATGCTTGCTTGCATCTGTGTATGTGTGGGAGAGAGAGAGAGAGAGAGAGAGAGAGAGAGAGAGAGAGAGAGAGTCACACTATGTAGCCCACACTGGCCTAGAACTCATGGGCATCCTCCTGCCTCAGCTTCCTGAGTAGGGGAATATAGGCATCTGCCACCATGCCTGGCCTCTTATGCTTTCTGAAGAGTCCTACACACACAATCCACATTCACAGGCCTTACTCCCTTCTTCTCTCTGCTTCAGAGTCACACTGGTGCTACCAGATTCAAGTCCAGAACTCTCAGCACAACTGCCTGGGTGAGTCCCACCACCCTGGGGACAGGTAGGGCAGAGCATTCAGGTAGAGGAGACCCAGGGAGGGAGGGTGGGAAAGATGAGGGTGAAATCAGCCTCTGGTTGTCCCTTCCTATCCCCTTCACACACTCCTGGTGCTCAGGGAACCGAGTCGGCACAGACCCCTCCTGTCCCTGGGAGGGAGGCGCCTGGGAAATAAACCAGCTGCAGCAGCAGCATTAGAAAGAGAAACATATTTTGCCATTTTTCCCAGTACAGTGGAGAGTTGGTTCTCTTCCATCGATGACTTTTTAGGGCGAGCAGAGAGATGGTTCTTGGCATTTGTTATTCAGATGACCAATTTCCCTGCAGTCTGCTTTCTTCCTGCCCAGCTCTGGCCCTGCAGGTGCAGGAAGCCAGGTGCCTCCAGGAGCCACTGCTCCTCCCCCTTCTCAGCCCCCAGAGCAGCCGGTTACCACCCAAGTGCCCGGCCTGAGTCTGACCCTACCCCAGAGTGTGCTGCCCCGGCCCCCAGCATCTTGACTCGGCCGCTGTATGTCTGTGGGGAGGAGGCCAGAAAGCCAAGCAGCTACACATATGCACATGTGCGCACACACACATACTCCCTGCCACTCACGGGTATGTGGGCCTGGCCTTGAGGAAGGCTGCAGTGCCCCTGACCCTCAGCCTGCAATCTCCCTGCTCAGGGCCTGCCCAATGGGGTGGAGAGTGCCAGAAGAGCCAACAGTCTCCCATTGACATCGTCACCAACAAGGCCAGGCTGGACTACAACCTGGGGGACTTCTCCTTCTCCGGCTATGACAAGAAGCATAGTCGGCTTGTTCAAAACAATGGACACTCAGGTGGGTGAGGGGTGCGTGCTGGAGGACCCCAGCAGGCATGGGCTTCTTTCTGGTGCAGACACCCTCGAGCCCCTGAAGACGGAGGGCAGGGCTCCAACAGGCAGGGTGGGCCAGGCCCAGCCCCCCTTTGCTGAAGTATGGCTTGAAAACCCCATCAGGGAGGGTGGGGCAAGCAGAGAGGACTTCCTGGAGGAGGACGTGGTGGAGGAGGGATGTTCTAGCTGTGTCTTCAACCATTTCACCATTTCGTCAGAGCAGACTGGGGTGGGGGAAGGGAGGTTCCAGGAAAAAGGGAGGAGGTGAGTTAGTGAAGGCACGGAGGCGTGAAACAGCTCGGGTCGGGGAACTAGAGCAGCAGCAGTAGTAGTGGGGGAGCACAGAGTGCTGCGGGGCGGGGTCCAAGCAAGGCCCTGGGGAGGAGGTCAGCAGGGCTGAGGAGTCTGGACATTACCCCCGGGGCACCAGGGCTCACTGCAGAGCAAGTCAAAGGAGGGAGGAATCAGGGAAGAGTCGCCCTTCTGGGAGCAGGGAGGCTTAGGGGGGTCAGTGAGATGGTCAGGGAGGCCTCATGGCTGCACCACCCTGCCCCAGCCCAGGCCATGGAGGGCTAGCAGGGAGGCCAGCCTAAGGACTCTGCCTCCTTCTTTGTCCCCCAGTGATGGTGTCGCTGGAGCCAGATGTCACCATTAATGGAGGGGGCCTGGCCACACTGTATCAGGCCACACAGTTGCACCTGCACTGGTCTGAGGACCTAAACAATGGCTCGGAGCACGCCCTCGATGGGGAGCGCTTTGCCATGGAGGTGAGGTCCCTGCTCCGCAGGGCTCTGGGTGTGCGCTCACCTGGGGTGGGAAGGGTGCTCCAGCCCACTCACTGTGCCTCTCTCCACCCTGCCTACTTCTACCAGATGCACATAGTACACCAGAAGGGCATCGAGGGTGGGGCCCAGAACGCTAAAGACCAGATTGCAGTGCTGGCCTTCCTGGTGGAGGTAGGTAGGGCTTCTACCTGTCTCCCAGCTCCCTAGGACCCAGAGAGCCTGGGTGACTGTTCCTGTGCTGGGCGTGGGCTCAGGGCCCTAATCCCAGAAGCTGCCTGCCCATCTTCAAATCAGAGTGTGCTGGAAGTCACCTCCCCGGGACCCTCCACAGCCACCTTCCCTCTCATTGCAGGAGGGAAGTGAGCACAATGATGGTTTCAGGGTCCTGGTGGAGGCCCTGGATAAAATCCCCAAGCCCGGTGAGTCCAGATAGGGGAGGAGGCTGCCCTTCCCCACAAAGGAAGGGGCAGGGCAGCGGCTCTCAGAGTGAGGTGTGTGAGGGAACCTGTCCCCCACCCCAGGCATGAACGTCACGATGGAGGCAAGCAGCCTCACGGACCTGCTGCCCCTGGAGGACAAACTGAAGCACTACTTCCGCTACCAGGGCTCGCTCACCACGCCGACGTGTGATGAGACCGTTGTCTGGACCGTGTTCAAGGAGCGCATTCAGCTCCACAAAGACCAGGTATGCAGGGGCCCAGCAAAGTGCAGCCTCCTACTGCTGGCTCCCCAGAAGTCTTGCTTCCTTCTAGCCCAAGGGTCTCCTTGGTTGGGGAGCCCCGGGGAGCAGAAATCTACTGGCTCTGTCCTCAGATATCTACAAGGGAAGCAGATGATGAGAAAAATATCCTGTTTCCTGCAGGGAGAGCTGGGTGGGAGACATTGGGAGAGGTGGTCAGAAAAGGCTTCTAGAACGGTCAGGGGGAGTCAGCCAGGTTATTTATGTAGGAAGCTGTTGTCCTAGGGAGAGATCTAAGCTTGGGCCTGAGCTTGGGGCTGGCCAGTAGTTGCTTAGTAACCGTGGGAAATAGTTCATTCATTCATTCAACAAATGTTACTAAGTCTACACTACTCTAGTTGCTGAAGAGAGAGCCATGAGCCAGAAGGACCCATATCCCTGCCCTTGCCCTATCATTTCGGGTCAGTGACTGGTGGCATCAGTGTACCTCCAGTGGGAATTTGTTAGAATACTGATCCTCAGGCCCCCAGACCTACTCAATCAGATATTCAGGGAACAGGGCCTGCTGGGTCCCCCAGATATGCAAATGTGTGCTGAATCTGAGAGCTTCTGTGCTGCCCTCAGAGTGATGATGGCAGGAGTAGCGCATTGCAGGCCCTATAAACTGAGTTAGGGAAACTCAGTGAGCCCCTGCCCGGCTCACACTTCACATCCCTTGTTTTTTTCAGTCTCCATAACAACCTTGAAAGGTAGTGGCTCTGAGCCCACTTCCCTGATGCAGGTCAGAAAGGCGAGGCAGGAGGCAGCCGGCCCAGGGTCACAGCAGGACAGGGAGGGTCTGCTCTTGCTCCTACCCACCTGCCTGCCTAGCCCTGTCCCTCCCCAGATCCTGGCCTTCTCCCAGAAGCTGTACTACGATGAGGAGCAGAAACTGAAGATGACGGACAACGTGAGACCGCTGCAGCAGCTGGGAGACCGCCTGGTGTACACCTCGCAGGCCCCCGCACAGCTGCTGCCTGTGTCCCTGCCTGCCCTGCTGCTACCCACACTCACCTACCTGCTGGCCAACGTCCTCTGATGACGGCTCATTCCTGGACAGTGCTCCCTGACCTTGGCCCTCAGAGGACTTGGTTTCCAGTCTTTATGTTTCCCGGGCTGGACTTTGGATGATTAAAATACGGGTATATTTTTTGAGAAAGCTTTCGAAAGTCTGTTTATGCTTCCCACAGCTGCCCTTCACCCCTCCTGTACCAGGGCAGGGGCTTGGAGCCTGCAGAGTTCTCCCAAACAGGCACTGCCTGCCAGAGCCTGCCCCTGCTGTGTGAACTCCTTGTCTCCACCCCGCTCCCTTCTAAGCCAACCCATGGGAGGCCCAGATGGTGACAGCAGGGGTTCCAACCTAGTCAGTCTTTTCTGTGGGGGAAACTGAGGCCCAGGAGGGAGGGACTGGATAGAGGCCACATATTGGGGGCCAGGCAGAGCCCACTTGGGCACTGGCCCGGCACCTTCTCCTTTGTCCTGGGGAGAGCAGGGCTAGGCGTGGCCTGGTCCAGGCAGGGTGGGGAGCCAGGGGTGCGTTTGTTAGCACAAGTACTTCTTCAGCATTTGTGTTCCAAGCACTGGAGACGTGGCAGGGGGAAAACAGCGGAAAATGCCTGTCCTCCTGGGGTGCACAGACCCATGGGGGGTAGGGCTATAAATAAACAGCACACAGGGACGTGCTCTCCGAGACATTATAAGGCCGGCAGAACTGTGGAGAAAGTCAGGGAGAACAGCTGCAGTTTGCACAGTGGCCAGGAAAGGAGCATCAGGGACACTGAGGGAGGCAGGGAAGAGGCCATCTGGAGACCATGTGCCCAGGCTGGAGGGGCACAGGCTCCTCCGAGGGGAGGGAGGAACAGCCAAGCTGTGTGCAGAAGACACAGACTGGCCCGGGCTTGTAGGACACGACAGGACCCTGGGGCCACCAGAGACGTGGGGCACAGTCAGCTGCACAGTGGGGCAGGGGCATTGGAGGTGAAGGCGGAGGAGGGGACAGTTCCCAGGATATGGCCTGGGTTCAGGAGCAGGATTTGCTGATGGGTCAGAAGTGGGATGTGACAGGAAGAGGAATCGGGACTTATCCTGGAAGGGTCACCCCTCCCCACGCCATTGTGTCTCTAGTGGTGCTTTTCCCTCTTGGGCCCCAGGAGAGAGGGGAGGGACAAGGAGATGATGGGTGGGGAGTGAAGGGTCTCCCAGAGAATGAGAGGAGAAGAAAATAAAGGGCTCAAGATGGACCCTGCACCCCAGCACCTGAGAGCCCCCAGACTCTCGGACTTCATGATCTAGGCAAGAATTTGGACCTAGGGCTTGGGATTTAGCTCAGGGATTTAGCTCAGTGGCATAACTGCCTGCCTGGTAAGTGAGGTCATGAGTTCGATCCCTGGTACCAAAAAAAAAAAAAAAAAAAAGAATTTGGACCTGCAGAAAGGGATACCTGGAGGCCTTGGTGTGCTTCCTCATACTCCCAAAGGCATGAGTCCTAGAAGGCCTTGTGGTCAGTTCTAGGGCAAGGAATCCCTAAACCTCCCCCCATGATACCTCTGGCCACCCCAGCTAAGCTAAGGGGGAGGGGGAAAGCGCTGCTCACCCTCCTCACAATCCTTCTCCCTTTTCCATTTGTGACCAAGAATAAGTCCACCCCCCACTGGTGACCACGCAGCTGAGGGGTGGTGTTGCGGTTGCTATGGCAATCTCAGGCAGCCTGTTCTGCAGGGGGTGTGCAGATGGCCAGCCCGGGCTGTTTGCCTTGAGTTCCCACACAGCCTGCGGGGGGGGGGGCTGCTTCCCTCCCCTCAGAGTTGGGACGCTGAGGTTAGAACCATGTTTCCCACTCCCTCTGCATGTCCACCCTGATCCCCGATGACAACAATGGCAATGGAAGGTGACAATCAGTGAGTGATAGGACAGCAGAACCAGGACATCTTGGCTCTTTGCAAGAGGGAAGCCTTGGCTTCTCCCAGCAGGGTGGAAGGCAGGAGAGGCGCCCCCACCCCTTCCCATCCCTGTCTCCTCACAGGGTGAGGTAAACCTGGTGGCTAGAGCCAGACGGCACGGTGTGTCCACAGCCCAGGCCACCTCCCTGTGTCCTGCCTGCCCTCCCTGCAATCCAGAGGCAGAGCAGGTGCTGCCAGCATACAACTCCCAGCAAAGTCACCTGGCCAACTACCACAGGAGCAGGCAGTGCGCTGCCCAGGCTCTGCCCAACACCCTGGAAGCCAAGGTCAGTGAGCACTGAGTATTCCCAGAGAGCTTCCTCCTCTGAGAATAAATTCACCTTCTCTGCACTACCCCCAACCCCCACCACAGCCCCAATCCCTGGAGGAGATGGCTCTAAGTCCAATGTACCCCGATTGGCCTGGGCCAATTCTCGCCTGAGCCAGTTCTCTCAGTGGGTGCAGGGCTCCAGTGGCACCCAGAAGTCACAAAGGGGGACCCTCAGAGCCTTACTTTCATTCGCTTCTTAGATGACCATGTTGGTTATGTGCCTGTGGGTATACACTCAGCCACTCGAGTACACAGCTCACTGTGGCTCCAGCTCTAGGGCAGCCACAGGGCCCTTTTGTGATGGGCTCCTGACCCAGAACGTGAAGCGCATGGTTGAATGCCTAGGAGTAAGGGTGTGTGCTTACAATCCCACTGAAGAGATATAATTCCTCCCCATGGCTGGGGAAACTGAGGCACAGAGAAGTATCAGAAGGATGGAGGAGCCTGTGGTCATGCAGCACGTCCTCAGCGTCCATGGCCAGTTTTCTCCTTGGGCAGAGTCATCCAGGGAAGATGGGACAGGGACAGGGTGGGTGGAGTGGGGCCCGCAGTGCTCTGTCCCACCTGGTCTCCTCCTGCTGCTTTCTGTCCCCGAAGGGGCACCTCCCTGGCGCCTGGTTTAAACTTAGCATCCTGGTGGAGTCGGGGATAAAAACACTCTCTGAGTGTTTAGACAACTCTCGGAAGATAAACTTCCGTGTCTTGGCTCTCGGTTTGCACACTTGCCAGCCTGACTTCCTGTGGCTCTGATCTAAGCCTGTGTATGGGAGGGAGAGGAAGGGGTGGAAGCCAAGGAAGGGTGCCGAGTCTGGGCGTGGAGGGTGTTCGTGCGTGTGTGCGCGTGTGCGCTGTGTAAACTGCACTGTCACAAAACCTTGGGATGGTTGTACAGAAATACTTGTGAATGGTGCCGGGTGCAGAGTAGAGGCAACCCTGGGCCTCTACCTTGGGTGGGAAGAGACAAGGAAGCTGACACAAAGGCATGGCTCTCCGCTCCTGGCCTTGGATTATCCTCGGACTCAAGGTCTGGGCCCTGCCTTCAAACTGAGTGCCTCACCTGCCATCACTCATGTCCTAGTGTCCTGGGGCTGCTTGTTTATCTGCATAGGGGACAAAGGCATGGCCTCCTAGCTAAGGAGGATGTTCCAGGGCCCATGCAGGCAGAGTGGGGATTCTGCTAGAGGAGACCAAAAGAGAAATGAGTCACAAGCCAGTCCCTCCTGCTACGATTACACACACGAGAGGCCCTTACTGGTCACTCTCAGTGCTGGCTGCCCTGGGCTTGAAAGGACAGGGAGAGGGAGCAGGGTGCAGGACACGGAAGGGAGCCTGGTTATGTTTTAGAACAAGGTTTAATCTTTCAACAAACATTATTTTTTCTGTGCTACAGACTAATGATTTAGGAAGAGAAAACCCAGTCTGGGTCCTTCCTCTGAGACTCCTGACCATAGGGCACACACATCAGGCCCAGGGGAATCAGGTCTATGAGGCAGAAGCAGAGAGAGTTTACAAGCACCCTGGAACAGGGGTTTCAGAGTCCCACAGCCTGGGGCTGAGTCTGAGTAGATGCCTTTGATAATTTAGTTCCCCTGAGCCTCAGTTCACTCATCTGTAAAATCGGAGTGATGTCAGCATTTACTGCATAAAGTTACTGTAAAAATATGAAGCCAGATGTGGTGGCACACACCTGTAATCCCAGCACGTGGGGGGCTGAGGCAGGAGAACTGCTGTGAGTTCAGGATCAGCCTGGACTACCTCATGAGATAAACTCTGACCCCAAAAAACAAAACAGATAAGCAAAACAAACAAACAGAAAAACCTGGGCAAGTGGAGTGGGCAAGAGGATGAAGTCCGTATTTTTTCATCATTATTTGGCTAGGCAGGACCTACAGACAGAGCCACCAATGGAGCCTGGGGCTCTGGGCAGTGATGTGATTCACCTCTATGGTAAAGGGCAGAGAAGGCCCAAGTTCCCTTGTGGGGCTGCCTTTCAGACATCTTCCAGGGCGCCCCCCACTCCCTCCCAGCCTCAAGGAGGTATCCCGTGGAGCAGCCCCCACCTGATTGCCTGGGGTCCCCAGAACACTGGAGAGGAGCGGGCAGGCACCCGCTGAGCTCCGGGGTGCCCTGCAGTTCTTATACGGGGTGGGGGGTGGGGACCAGGGCTGAATTGGGCTCCAAAAGAAGGAAAGCCTCCCGGACCAGCCCTTGCTGCTTTCTTGCGCTTGGGGACCCTCCCGTTCTGGGGCCCATTTCCCTGTAGCCCCTTCTGCTCCCCTTCCCAAGAAGCTGCAGGGCCTCTGAGTGTGCCCTCTGTGCTGACCCTGGATTTAGGCTTCCCCCGCACAAGGCCTGCCAGTCCCTGGCCACCATCTTCCTAAGATTCAGGCTAGCTGGGTTCCTGTGCAGTTCAGATAGCAAACCAATGATCTTTTTTTTTTGGTCTTTTCCCTTTTTATCGGTACCAGGGATCCAACTCAGACTGCCTGCTTACAAGGCAGGCACTTATGCCGCTGAGCTAAATCCCCAGCCCCACCAATGATCATTTTAGCATATCCCCCAGATTGCATGGAATATACACTAAAATATCCCTAGTTATTTCTCCAAATTTAGATTTACCTGCCCTAGAAAGTTTTGTTTACAAGGTTCCATGATCCCACCAACCTAAGGAAACAGAGAGGAGAGAAGCGCACTTCCTCCTCCTCGAGCCTCCCCCACTCCACCCATCCCATGGGCCCACCTCTTTCTGGAACTGACTGGTCACCATCTGGCCGCGGGATTTCCCCTCTTGAGAGGTCAGCCCTAGGCTCCTATGCGGAGGTTACTAGGGAATGCCCGGGGCAGGCTCTGCTGTCTGTGGATTCCCTCCCCACTGATTTCTAATGATCC